TTCCTGCATGAATACTCGTAGTTCGTAACCAAAATATGGAATGGTAAATGAGAGGTCAATTAAAATCGACGATTGCTAGCTTTTGAATTTTATCATTAATATTTTGGAGTATATTTAATCTTAAGGGGCACGTAGGAACCGAAAATTCAGTAGCTGAAAAGACAGATATCAGCCGGAGGCTACCGGAAGTGTTCGCAAAGATCGTTGATGTACAATGCGATATGGATGTATCGTGGAATGAGAACTACTGAGCCCAAAGTGGTGGACACCAGTAAGGAAAGTTCATAATACATTCCGAATGATAAATGTCGTTCAATTATTGTGGGCTACAAAAGCTAACATTTTATGATCCCGCGAGACCAACAATAATTTTGTACAGTTTGGGCATGAAAAGAATAAAAATGGGCGAGTAATTGGCGAGAAACGGTTTGTGGTATAACCAGCGGTGAAGATAACGTAAAGGCCTAAAAATATTTCCATGGAATAAAAGCTCGTATGAAATGTCCAGTTATTTAGTTGGGTTCGTGTTTTGGCTAAAGTGTTCAGGCCAATAGCCTCGTCGTAAATTTGCCGGTGAGGAGGGATTTCCCAGAGCGTTTTTCGATTTCGCGGTAGGCGTACTGTGAAAATTAAGCGTTTACAATCGGCTGTAAATTTGAGCGGAAAGGCTTCGTGAACAGAGGGGGCAATCATCGGCGTCTCCCGCACCCAGGATTCGCCACGCCCGTTTTAAATTAAGACCGTAAAACTATCCGTCGACGGTAAATCATTCGGAGGGTAGTCTTGACTATCCCCCCCTCGAAAAGAAACGTCGCTGGAAAAGCGGAAAAACGCCGACGGGCCTTCAGACGACAAATCGGGAGCAACACGCGATTTAGGCCGTCGTCGAAGCCGAATTGAGTTTTTTATTCGGTCCGAAAAACATAAAATGGCCGATCGCTAATAGAAGAGTGGGCAAAACGAAGACCGTCAATTACCACCGTCGGACAGAGAAGAAAAGACCTCTTGGGACGGTTTTCGAAGAACGGCCAGGTCAGACAGTGACAGGTCGACAAAAACCCTCCGCCGGCACTGAAATTTACTCCAGGCTGATTTACAACGGTAACGGATGCGCAAACAGTGTTCCCTGCTACCTCTCTTTTATCCGTTCTTTGGACACGTGGGGTCGGAGGGGCCTCCTCAAAACTTCTGTCATCGCCTTTCAACAAAAATTCACCTTTAAGCCCTGAGGATTATCGCCTCGTATTTGCAAACTGCATCCTTAATCCTGTCTTGAGTGTAAGCCTCTTCACTCTTCAAAGCAAAGCTGGCATTTACACAGAGATCATTTGTTCTTCTAGATCCCGCCTAATTAATGATTTTTTACTCTCAACTTTTTGATTGCCCACATTTTTTATTGAATATTTTTATTAAGGGAAAACTGGTATATAGTGATGGTCAAACCTGCCACTGAAGATATCGAGAACTCAGAACGCGTAAAACTTGTTAACTTTCTGTTAACCTTTTTTAATTTTCTAAATAACCCTTTTAAAAACTTAGGGGATGATATGAAACATAACCATGTAAAGTAAATTCCTGAAAATATTTTGGTTTTAATATAAAATAATTGAACCCTTGGAATATGAAAATTACTTACAATTAAAATAAAAAAATATTAAATATAAAGATAAATTATTCTTCGATTCTTCTTTCAATTTGAGATTTTTGTAATATTATTTGAAGATCGTGAGGTGCGATCTGATGTGACGTAGGTTTTAGAAACATTTTCTTTATCGTGTCAACGTTTCGATCATTATTGGGATCATCTTCAGGGCCTGGGATTTATAAACATTGTTTAAATTTTATAAATACGTGTAAGAAGTAAAAGATTTAGATTTAAAATGATGTAGATGTAAAACAAACTTTGATTGAATCTAAAATTTTCTAGCATTGTATAAATTCATTTTTTTAAATCTAAATCTTTTTGTTGTTGGATGTTTTTCAGATTTGTTTGGGTTTGAATAAGCTTATTCAGCTTTTCCAACTGTATTTTACGATTTGTTTTATTATTTTATTCTATATACCTTTCGAGGCTTATTTATACCTCCTCTTCAGCACATTACTAGTAGTTACTCACTTACAGTACTCTAGTAATTAATTAAAAAAATCGTACCCCTAACAAAAGCGAATGGAAGGGATTATTATTAAGTACGCCGGTGTAGTGTGAATGTAGTCTGGTATGTGGATGTAATTTATTAGCGTGAATAGAAGAGTATGTGTCGTAAGGGGCATTGGCTATGATTTTGAGGACTTTGGATTGGAAGAACTGTATACTTTCGATATTGGAAGGTTTGGTATTCCATAGTTCTAGCCCGTACGTTCAGATTGATTTTAGTATTGTCAGTTTGTTTTTCGTTGAAACGACGAAGATTTGCGTGACAGAAGTAAAACTAGTCCGAAACGTTGGTTTAGTGTCTGTCGTTTTAGCCGTGTGTTGTTTCCAGGTTAATCTTAAGTCTAGATGGAACCCAGGGTAGCGGGCGCAGTCTGTTTTTGGGAAGGGAGTATTATTGAGGAACACTGTTTTCTTCGAAAGATGAATGATATATGCGATTTTGCATTCATTAAATTTTATACGCCAGTGTTTGATCCATTCAGTTTTTCTCAGGACATGTGCCTCGTGCTCCTCCGAAGCAATTGTGAGATCGGAATCAGAGGAAAGCACGGCTGAGTTGTCTGCAAAGGATGCAAGGCGGTAGAAGGTGTATGTAGTTGGAATGTCTGAGGTACGAGTGTGGTCCGAAAAGGCTGCCCTGTGGTACTCCCGCTCCCAGAGGACAATACTCGGTGTAGGCCGATCTTTGGCGTACTCCAAAGAAGCGTTCGGTTAGATAGGAACGAACGATTAGGTAGACGGAATTTTGTAGGATGCGCTTCAGTTTGTGCAGGAGGCCTTCGTGCCACAAGCGGTCAAACGTTCACATCAAGAATGGCATCCTACACAGTATTCTTTCCGCTCTAGGGATGAGGATGTGCAATCCACAACGCGAAACACTTGCTGAGTAATGGAGTGTTAGGATCGGAAGCCAAAGTGGTAATCTGGGAGAAGGATTAACGAATTGATTGTCGGGGTTAATCGTTTGAGGAGGATCTTCTCAAATACTTTTCAGAAGAGCCTCCTCTAGGCGGTAGGAAGAAGCATTATGGGAGTGTATACCGGGTTTTGGAAACAGGATAATATTGGAATATTTCCAGAGCAATGGGAAGTGCGGAGCTGTTGTAAAGGTAGTAGTATGATAGCTTTCTTGTGGAGTTCTCGAGGATTTGCGCCGTGATGAGATCAAGCCGGGAGCCTGGTGTTTCGGCAATTGAGTCAGGATATATTTTACTTCTGAAGGGTTGACGAATATAATTAGTAGTCATTTTAACACTCAGGGTTCATTTACGCTACCTAAGAAAAATTTAAAAAGTTGTAGGTTGAAAGAAGTTGTATTTAGGTATATTTATTGTTCTCTAAGTTGTGGTGTCCGTCCTATAAGAAGAGCTGTGTCCCTAAACAGAGCGAGGAGTACTCATTGGAGATTTCGCTGTTGTATATTGCTTGTTGTTTTATATTGTTGTTTTGCTGTTGTATTTTTACGCAGTTTCGCTTCAACCTTTTACCTATTTGCGTAGTTAAGTAGTCCAGGTTCAACCCTCAGCTTGCTGTTGAATATATTTCTTCCTAACAGCAAATTAGACCGTTTGTCGCTCCTCTGTTATTACATTTCCCTCGATCCACCGAGCCGGGGGGTCTGACGACAAAGTCGTGACGGTGGATTCTAGTTTCCGAACCGGCGGACATGACTTCAGGACTCTGTCATTACACATTTTATATAATCGGTGGATTTATGTGAAACAAGGGGTCGGCGAAGCACAAATCAAGTCCCCTCGGACATCATCAATTGAAATCGTATTATTTTATTTGCCATTGGCTTCAGGCCAGGTCCATTTCCACGGACATGGATGATTACGCGATTTCATTCTGTGGTTTTTGAGAAAAGTGGAACATTTACTCCTTCTAATATGTAATCTATGGAATATTTTTACATAGCTTTTTCAGTCAAATAAACCCTTATCCTCGACAAATTTAACCTTTATAATTTCAAATTAAAATTAAACTTATTAAATTCAGCTGTTTTTCAGCAAATAAACCTACCGCTTTATAATATAAAGCGGGTTCTTATAGAAAATACCACGTGAAAATTGATTATAATTAAAATTAAGCTATATTTTATATAAAACTAATATGACAACTGGTTTTTCTAGTAATTTCGATCTGTTATCAAAATATTTTATAGATCAATTGTTTTATGTTAAAAATCTAGAATTAATAGAACAATCATTTGTTTTCACATTAAATTTTATATATTTTTAATTTCAACCGTAATTAATTTTCATATGGTTTTCTAAGAGTTCAATTATTTAAAAAAAATCGTAAATATAAAGGAATTTTACTTTACACGCTTATAATTCATACCATCCCCTAACTATTTTAATGCTTTAAAGAAAGGCATAATATGAAATTAAAATGGGTTAATATTAAGTTAAACAGGTTAATTTAAAATTAAAAACATTAGTTTGAAGTGAAAATGTCTATTTGGAATTAAAAGGGGTTAATTTGTCGGGGCGGGGGACCATTATACATATGTACATGTACATGTAATTTGAGGATGTCTCTTTTCATACACACCAGCCGCCTTTGTTGTAAAGAAGGCAAATTATTTTTTTTTTAAACAAGTTAAATTGTAACCGTTTTATTTTTGGTAAGGTGTCTATTTTTTTTTTAAACTTTTTTTTCAGTATGAAAGGAGACACCGGGGATAATTGTAGTTTCTAATACTAGTTAAATTTAATGGACTATACCTTGTAGTGATGATGAAAAGGGGTAGAAGTAGAAATTTAGGCAGAATCCGCACTCCAGCCGAGATGCTTGGACCCGGAGGGATTTTAGGTATGTGGTTCGACTCGATTTCGTGGACCTGGATTTTCTTCTTCCCGGCGAAGCACATCCTGTCCATGTTCCTCCGTATCGAATCGCAGTCGTATTCCTCTTTGCCGTCGCAGGTGCAGGAGTTGAGTTTAGCCGCTTTCTCCTGCCGGCGGAGGATGTTGATGCTGTTCTCGCAACGTGCTGAGCAACGTTTACCGAGAAACATCGACCTGCAGTAATGGTTGTAGTAGGAGAGCGCCTTGGCGCACACGGGGTCGACTCCGCAGATCCACTGGGCGACGACGCAGGAAACAATCGTCTCGTTCATGCTCGCTTTGATGACCTGAGGCCTGCAGACGTCCACCCTGTCCTTCGTCTTCCGGCACAGGTCGTCACCGCATTCGCACTATAATTTAACAACAAAACTATCACCTGGAGATCTATAACGACGAGTCGGGCTTACTTACGTTCATGAGCTGTTTTCCTTCGTGGGTCGATGTAAGGGCGATGAGGGAGTTGAGGCAATCCTCCGGGCAAGAAGTGAGTTGTCGAGATTTGTGCAATTCGGAACAGCTGAGGAAGTAACCCTGCAGCGCCGTACCGCAGCCGTCTCTGAGGGCGCATTTTAACCTGGCCTCTTCGCACAGGATGCACTGAGCCAACGGGCATAGGAAGATTAGGAAAAGGGTGAAACCGAAAATAAGTCGGCCCATCTGGAAAAAATAAAATCGTTTTGTACAAAGCCATAAAAGAAAAAAATCTAATTATTTTCGAATGCAATTTCATTAGAAGTTTCTTCTATAAAGTCGCATCGAGATGTTTGGTGGATTGTGTCTGCTTTTTATTTATGTACTTATTATTTTTATGAGTATCTTTTATTGTTAAATTATTATGAATTGTATTAGAAATTTAAGGTTAGAAAGATATCATACATAATACACTGATGACAAAATTAACGCACCACCCTTATATTTTAATGTATTTTAGTTTATTAATATTTTGTATACTAAGTTTGGGTATAAAAATAAGACCTTTACAAAGAAAATGTTTACTACCTAATTCTAAAAAAAGAATTGTTGATTAAAGAACAAACGAACAACAAAGAGATGGAGACGTTTTATACCGTGTTTGTCCTGAGAAACCTGTGTCAACAGCTACACATTTTTTGGTAGCACAGCACATAAAGATAGCAACACACGAGGAAAACAAAGGTATGAAGTCTAAGTTTCAACAAACTTTTGTGACAGAAGCTGCCACAAGAGCTCTGGGTCTGGAAGGTCCGGTTTCTATACCGATTGCTTTAGTTAGAACTACCCATCCATAAACTAAGCCACCCGGAATTCAAGGTGTTTTTTTTTTTTTGGTAGCACAGCACATAAAGATGGCAACACACGAGGAAAACAAAGGTATGAAGTCTAAGTTTCAACAAACTTTTGTGACAGAAGCTGCAACAAGAGCTCTGGGTCTGGAAGGTCCGGTTTCTGTACCAATTCCTTTAGTTAGAACTGACATACCCATCCATAAACTAAGCCACCCGGAATTCAAGTTTTTTTCTTTTTTTTTGAGAAATACACGGGGAAAACCATTCCCCACGAAAGTAACCTCAGGAAATTTTCAACTGGATCTTATATACAATGAAACATTCCATAAAATCAGAGATTTCATCGAAAATGAATCGATCTGGGTCTCGACGGATGAGACGACGAATTTTTTAAATTTTTCTTTTTTTTAATGCGTTTTTCTTTTTTAATATTTACCATGTGGTGTTCCTCTTGCCACGGTTCCTCTTTTCAATACAATTATGTGCTTTAATTTGAAGTTTCATTATTTTTTCTCATGGTAGTTTTAGCATATTTTCAGTTTTAAATTGTATTTTTTACCAAATATATTTACATATATATATGCATATTTGTCTGTTTTTATTGCATAAAAAATCACACAAGTTATTATAAATTTAGTCATATTCATAATGGACAAGACGAGACTCCAGATGAAATTTGAAGGCGGAGAAAAAATTATTTGAATATCATATCAGCGATAGTCGTCATCTATCCGGAAGTTAACACTGCCAAATGACAAAGCGAATTTAACAAAAGTCCTGCCGTCCAAATATAGTCCGATCGTTAACCCCGAGCCCGTTAAACATACATCATAAGCCCTTTAGAAAGTGGGCCGAGAGCAGTTTCTTCCCAATCCCACCAAACTTTTATGGCCATATTTAATATCGAGGGGGGCGACGTTCTGTAGAAAGGAGAAGACGTCTCCTCCGGGTTTACAAGTTCTTTGTAGAGCTATTGCACTGCTGTAGGTCTAACGGCGCTGTCTTCTAATTCGTGATTCGAGCGTGACCCGTTTCAGCTTGTTCTTTCTATTGACCTGGAAGAGAATGGTAAATCCAGAGTCGCACAGATGGACGGATGTGATTTTTTTGAAGTTTTTTTTCTGAGGTGACAAACACGAATTAACTTACCCGCCCACCTACAAACTCGATCCAAAAAAGTATCAATAAATTCTTTTTTTTTTTTTTTAAATGCAGCCGAATATATTGACATCCCTACACTTTACATTATTAACCGCTCTGTCCCGTGGTTATACACCTTTTAAAACACTTTCATCCAATTAATAGCCATAGAAGGTCATAAAAAAAAATGGCTAGAAATATTCAATTTGTACCAAAAGTATACTGCGTGAGTTAGTGACAGAGAGTTAGGACAAAAATGTCTTCTTGGGCCTAGAGTACAGAGGAGAGAGGGAAACGAAAAGGCCTATAGATCAGTAAGATTGCCATAAAAAGAAGTAATTGCTAAATGGATCATGCTAAAAACTCATAGTTCGTGGAACAACATCCAAGGACAGAAAAAAAGACTAAGCCTCGCCTGAACTTCCAACAAACTGCATCGAGGGTGAACTAAACACAGGATTATTGTAGGTCTATGTACTTCAAAGTATTGGGAATAGCAGAAGTCTATGCATGTTTCTAATTAAGGCTAGAACAAAGCTGTATCCTAATAAATATAACTGAGAAATCATCAAAGCTAGGTGTTTGTTTGGTGACAGACTACTTTACCTTACCTGTGATCGTCTAAAATATGCGACTGTGTGACTGCCCCAGCAAAAGAACTGTCACTTGTTTGTATCTTAGCGGACGCAAGACACAAGGCAAATAAACCTGTAGGACTGCCATAAATGTGTCATGTTACAAAACTCACACCTGGTGGAACAATCCAGTACAGATATCGAGTTAATGTTTCGTCTAACGTTACTACACAACTGCTGCAACGAGGATGAACAAAATTACTAATAGACACTTGAAAAGTTTGGGAATGGCAGAAGGCAGTGTAGGGCCCGCCAAGACGAGGAAACAATCAATTCATATCATACGCTACTGTGAAATTGGTAAATCATACCTAGTGTCCCAGGACTGAGAACAAGAAACCTACTGCAACAAGTACGAAGAAAACTCAAAATCATTTTAGATATGCTTGGATGGTACGCTATAATCCATTCGAGGAAATGCACAACAGTCCAATTTTGGCGGACGAAGTATGACAGGCTTTGTAGCCACCTCATAGGTATCTAGATCGACACATTCTAGCCACCACACCACCTCAGTAATTTATTACACCTTAATATACAATGTTAATTACTACAAAATTGATAGAGTTGTTATAGTTTTATACGTCGCTAATTAATAAATTATAATGTCCTGAATTGTTTTTCACCTTTGCCTTCTAGATTGCACAGAACCATTTTCCTTATTTTGCTTACAATTCAAAATTCCCAGAGATATCTTTCTGTACAAAGCCTGTACGAGATGTATCAGAAGTTTTTAAGGTCCAGTCGAATCATAGTTTGATCGGAGATAAGACACATATCTAGCTTTTATTTACTAGTGTGGAAGCAATTTGTGAGCCTACGTTTAATAATTTGCAATTTTTTACCGAGCTTTTGAACGTACTTATTCATCAGGAGTGTAATTTTCAAGAATATGAGTGTAGATACGAGATAAAAGGTGTATCGACTATTTATTTGTACACTGCATTGGAGGAGTGTGAGGTGCCTCACTTCTGATGATGGCCGAACCCTTTGAACAATCGTGCACGGAGGGTTAAAAGCAGTTTTTACACAAAACGTCAAACAATAAAATACAAAACGAATATGTGTTTTTCGCAATAGGCCTAGAAAATGGCCGATAGGAATTCGACCGAGTTCCGGAATATATTCCGGCATGACGGAATAAATTCGAGTCGTTGAAAATACTAAACAGCCTGGCCGACGGATATGGGCTCGAGTGAAAGTCCAATAATTCCGACCTCGGTCGAAAAGGTCCCCGCGGACCTCCCAGGGTTTGGAAGTACGATCTTAATTACCTGTCGTCACCTTCTTCCTTCACTTCGCATCCTGGATCTGGACTTCGCAGTATCCGTGTGTTTTCACTGGGAAAAATCAACAATATACTTTGGTTTTTTGGAAAAATCTTTTGAAATTGGTTTTACACAAGTGAATCATGTAAACCACTTGAAAATGCAAACGGAAATACCAATCAACACGACGGGTATTGATGTCCACAGTTGCCGGTATATCTAGAGCTATTTTTAGTCGACTTTTACCCCAAAGCGGTTTCATTTTGCCTCCTTTATCACGATCGACAGACGATCGAGTCGATTTTGAAAGTCCAAATAACAATTGTGCAAAATCTTTAAAATATTTATAACATTTTACGAACTTTCTGAATTTTTTTTAAACCTGTATCGTCTTGGTCAATATGCCATCTATATCTCATAACAAATTCTAGCCTGCACACAACCTCACTGATCAAGTTGTTAATATTATACGTTAATATACTATGTTAATTAACGTTCTTTTCGAATTTGAAATGTCCAAATGACAATTATACAAAATCTTTAGAATATTTATAACATTTTAACAAATTTATGTGTTTTGTTTTTTCGCTTGTGTCGTCGTGATCAATACGCCATCTATATCTCACAACATATCCTAGCCTACAATCAACCTCACCGATAAAGTTAATTATTAAACTTTAATAAACCATGTTGATTACCGATTTGTTCGATTTTGAAACGCGCAAATACCAATTGGGCAAAAAAATTTCACAATTTTTAACCCATGACTTTTTTTCAAACGTTATTCTTGTCAGAAAGCATTCCACATAATAAATATTTAGACGATATTGTTGAAATTCTTATATTTTAAATATCGATTTCCTTCGGCTTGTTTTAGAATGTACTATACAATGTTAATTAATGCATATATAATAGTTTTTCACAAGTGCGATTTAGATCAACAATTCCATCTAGATTTCACGACACATTTAACCTACACATAACCTCAACTATAATATATGTATAATGATTATTAATACACTTAATTAATGCAATTATTACAGTTTTAAACATCGCGTCACTAACTTACAAATTATAATCGTATCAGTTTTTTTTTCACCAGTTACTTTTAAATCGACATGCCATCTAGATCGCTCGACACATACTAGCAGCCACACCACCTCACCGGTAAAGTTGTTTATTACACATTAACATACAATGTTAATCACTATAATTAATTAATACAGTTGTTATACGTAGTTTTAAACCCTGAGCCACAAACTAAAAAATTATAACGTTCTCAGTGGTGCGTTTAAATCGACATGCCGTCTAGATCCACGATACATTCTATCCTCCATAGCATCTCACCG